AAGTAAAACAGATGAGTGAAGTGAAGTTGTCGAGGGATTGACTTCACTTGTCTCTGACGGGTTCGCAGCTTGGTGTGGAGAATGGCAAAGCTCACTGATGATGCCGGCGAAACGTTTGAGAATGTACCAAGTCCACTGTCAGATGCTGGGAATTATGACAACTACTATGATAGACGACTCCGGACTAGGTGCGTTCTACATAGTCACCCTGAAAACAAGATCAAGTTGCGACAACGAGGTCAACCCACTTCAATATGAGGTGGGTTTGAGAGAAAGAGATGCAACACTGGCCGGTAGGGCGAAGAGTGATGCGAAAATAGTTGAGCAGAATATTTGGTCAAGGTAATTGCCTTCATTTGTCACTTTAATAAGTTGTAACTGTGTTAACGATGGTGCCTCTAATGATGCTGGCGAAACGTCTGGGAATGAAAATCATTAAGAATATTGTGGCGGAGGACGCAGGACTAAGTACGTTTACAAGGTCTCTGTCTATTTGAGCAAGTTGCGAAAATGAGGTGAAAAAAAACTATACAGATAAAGGAGACTAAGAATAAGAAGGGCACACCACCTTGGCCTTCACATCTACAATCTATACTACAGTTTATAGATATGAAGGACAAGATGGTGTGGCAGTCTCCTTTCGATTTCTAGAATTTGGTTGAACTCGCCGCAACTTAGTCTTGTTGTCAAGGCGACTTAGCAGCACATACGTTTGAGAATGTACCAAGTAAACTGTCTGATGCTGGGAATCATGACAACTATTATGGCAGACGATTTCGGACTAGGTGCGTTCTACCAAGTCGCCTAGACAACAAGACGAAGTCGCGACAACGAGGTCAACTCACTTTTATAGTGTTGGGTCGACCACGTTTTCGCAACTCGGCCGGAGCGCCAGAGACCCTGTGGGACGTACCTAGTTCTGTGTCCTCTGCCATGATGATTTCCAGAATCGAACCTTTGACTTGATATATTTCCAAACGTTTTGCCTGTATCATCAATGCGAGGTGCCTTTGCCAGCAAGGATTTATAACTTTTTTGTGACAGGTGAAGACAATCCCTTTACCGAGTTTCTGTTCTGTACTAAAGTTTAACCATATTAAATTCATCCAAAAGAGATGTGGTCACAGATTGATGCTTGCAGAACCAATACTGTTGGCTGGCACTTTCTGTTCTCATTCCACTGCTGTCTCATCGAATTCAATACGTCTTCCTTGGCTTTCAATAATTATGTAAATATGGTAGCTGGTTAGAATCTGCCGTGACTGGCCTAATGCCTCAGTTGTATTCGCACTTGTGTCTTCATATACATGCATAGTCTGCAATTCATTTAGCCAGCAATACATTCCGATCGTGTGAATGAGGTCACTCTATACTAGCTCATCAGTGCGGGATTGAAGAGCAAATCTATTCTCGAGCATAGGTCATTCGCCATCCCTCGCTTCCCATAGAGAGCAAACGAAGTACATGGCCTGGCAATTAGCGAACTAAGAATTTGAAACAAGTTCATAGTGTAAGCTTCTTTCAGGCTATTAACTATGAGAATTGTAGAACAACCCGCCCTCGTAATTCTTAAAGACAAGGGGAATGCAGGTCATATTTGATCATTCTTAACACTGGGTTTACTTAACACGGAAAGAGCCTCAAAATGTTCTGCTTTAACACCTATCTCTTCTCGTTTTCTATAATCATGCAAAGGCTTGAACCAAGATAGCTATACCTATGTTTTAAGGATTTTTTATCAGACTATTTATTTTCTATGTTGTATTCCAGCACCAAGTTATCGCTGGTTTATTCTACCTGGCTGTGCAGGGCTTCAGTGATAGATGTTGGCCCAACTCTGGAATGCTTTTTCAATCTATTATCAATCAGCCTTTATAAGAATCCTTCTGTATTTTTCCAGGGAATTGGCTCTGCTAATATGCCTTTAAGAATAGGTATTACACTTATTCGTGAATACTCTTGCTCAGGCCGGTGCTCACGCTTTGCGCGTGCATAAATGTATAGCGTTGATGAGTTTCGTACAACTTGCATCCTTGTGTGTGTCTGTGTGTAGCATGCGATTTTGTGCCTCCGCATACAATACGGGCATGTCCACACTGGCAGTTTTGTCGTCACTGCGGCCCGGACCTTCCGCACACTATCGCCTGGCAGCAGAAAGGATGCACTTGTGTTTCTGTCTAAATGACTAGACGTGTGTATGAGCCTAGCCTCAAGCAGAATGGCGTGTATCTTATTCACCCTTGTCCTTCTCCTCATGCCGTAGATACCGAAACACCGCCCCATCCTAGCGTTGATACAAGCGATGCCGAGACTACAATCGATTTGTTTAGGCCAGTCTGCAATGAGGTTGCCATGGCAGCATGTCGAGAAATAAAAGAAGCAATTTTAGATAATTCTGACACATTAGACAGCATGGGCGTTTTGGCCAGATAGGAAATTAGCTCATTTGCCAATGACGCGTAACTGTTGTTTTGCCTCAAGTATTTTGCTCCTTCATTATTCCTTTGAGTCTTCACAGTATGAGACCTGTTGAGTTCGCCTTGATATGAGCTTAATTCCGCTATAATAGTGAAGATAGGAGTAGCAGCTAATCTGGTCTAAGAATGAGGCTTCACCGATGGTATCTAGGCCGATAACGCTAAGCGCTCGTCCACGGTGGATTAATTTTGTCATAAACCATTATAGCGACATGAATATGAAAATCGGAGGCCCAACCTCGGACGTGGGTAAAAGTATTATTCCCTACATGAAGTGCCAATCATCAAATATACAATAGATGTATCTAGCCCTCAACGTCGGGCCGATTTGGTAACTCAGTGGGGCTGGGCTACTTGAGATGGGGACAATTTGCCTGCTTCACATTTTAGGTTTGACCTCTCCTATTACTGATATATAAAGCTAGACAAAATTCAAACTCCAGCGCACCCTGGATGAGAAATTATCCAAGTTGGGGCAACTTGCAATGAAGCTATGACCCATAGTACTCTTGCAATTTCTGCCAAACCAAAGTCCAAAACGTTACTGAGCCAAAGAAATTCATAAGCTTTTATTAAAGTCTGACGCCAGATATTTAAACAATAAATTGAGCGATAACATATTGTTTGCCCGCGGCAGAGTGTGGAACATGCATTGAGTAGCATGGATACGGTGGTAGTGATAGCGTGAAATCATTGAAACAAGTAGATAAGGGATGGATTTTACGGAGCAAGGGGGGAATCTGATAGGACCCGAAGAGAGGGGATTGTGGATTAAATCGCCACATTGGATTACCACTCCCGCCACAGTAGAAGGGATGTGGAAACCAGCGGGGAGCGTGAATAGGTTTCAAATAGGTTTAGATAAACAAGCAAAAAATAGTGATATTGAAGGGGTGATACGAGTGACAACTGAATATTGCTGGCAAAAAAGGCAATATACAGCTTAACTTATTAGTCGCCTGCCTCCGAGGTTGAGTGCCCAATTAATTAAAGTTATTTGACCTTGTTTTCGCAACTTGGCCATATTGGCAGAAAGCACCCAGTCCGGAGTCCATTGTATGCATGATAAGTTCTAGTAAGGCCGTGGACTTGGTACATCCCCAGACGTTTCGCCGGCATTGTCAGTGAGTCTTGCCAGTCCTAGCACCACACTATAACGCGTCAGAGACAAGTGAAGCCGATCCTATGACCAAATGTGTGCTAAACTAGTGATTCTCAAACTGTGCACCGCGGCGCCCCTGGGAGCCGAGGCCTCTTAACAGGGGCGCCGCGAAATATTGTAAAAGCTTCAATTTGAGAAAATGTGCACTGATTTGCAAGTTCATCCGAAACATTAATTATTAAATATTAGTTTAATGTTAATAAAGTAAACAATGAAGATACACGAGTTTTACTTATTTTTATCTCTTACTTATGAATAGTCATACTTAGGGTAGGGCGGCATGAAAAAATTTTAATTGAAAAAGGGCGCCGCGACCAGAAAAAGTTTGGGAACCACCGTGCTAAACAGTTGTGGTATATCTCCTTCTGTCCTGGGATATTCGCCTCTCCTATATCCTCGTACCACGCCATGATATCACTATTTTTCTTTGCTTATTTAAATCTAGTGTGGTGTACCCTTTTGAGCGGATTTAATGAGAAGCCTCCACACTTCACGCTGGCGTTCCCACCCCCTTCAACCTTGTACTAGGAATATTGATCAGTCTGTCATATTGTTACGCAGTCCTCCTTACATAGGTCTTATTAAAGTCTCCCTCTTGCCCCGTAGGATCCGTCTGCTATTCCACTGGTTCAAGTATTTAAGTCAACCTCTGCCAACCCATCTGTGCTACTCGAGGCGTTATTACCCCTCCCCTGCGTCTGGGTGACTAATTCGAGGCTAAAGCCTCGGAGTGAGCGTTATCGTCAAGCCTTTGGACCACGTCTATGGTAAAACATGTCTACTGTCAGCCCACTAACTCCAGTATCCTCCGCGTCTATCCTGTTTCTAGCCCTAATACCAAGGCTATGACAACGAAAGGAGACTGCGAGCACACAAAAGGCCACACCATCTTGGTCTTCATATCTTCGAACATTAAGTGGTTTTGACTATGCAAACACAACTGAGTTGGGCGTGGCTCCTATAAGCTCAAATGATTTTGCAATCAGCAGTCTAATTTATTTGTTGTGGGCCTTTCCGATAAGAGAGTAGCTGGCTCAGGTGAAATAAATAAGACATCAAGACTATTAAGAAGGCAAGAGGAGCCCTTGGTGTCATAAACCACAGAACATTGATGATGAAAAATAGATTTGAGGAACACAATTTAACTTATTGGTCGAATAAGGCAATTAACTTGTCATTAGCCTGCAGTCGCGATTGATAGATGTGCAAGCATAAGTGCTTATTTTGGTCTTAAATCATCTGTAATTAGATTGATGTTAAAAACCCTGCTTTTCTACGTATCTGGAATTACACCTTAAAGCCTATGAATTACATAGGGCTGCTAATGATTTTGAATTTTGTTTTTCTGAAAGACAAAGCCTAATTATCGGTTTCCACAGCGCATACTATAGGTTTTTTCAAATATATTTATGTCTGCTACGATTTCACTATCTGCTACTTGGTTGCGGTACATTGTGATACACCCACGATGCTCTAATCACGAAATATAACTGTCTTGCATCCCAAATATGAAGTCTCATCCAGAATGAATTGAAGCTTTGACTTTGATTATGCTTAATTATCAATCCTAACAAGAGTCAAACCCAGGCAAACATAGTAATTCTACCCCACAAGCCCAAAACCGGATGAGTTACTGGGCCTGCCCGAAATTGAATGCTAGGTGGGTTTTATTCCACATATGTAAAAATTAATTTATAACCAAGCTCCAGCTTATAAAATGGACTGTGAAGATTGATTTCGTCGCAAATTATCAAATAAGGAGATATTGAACCAAAGAATTGCTTAGAATAGAAAATTTAACTCATTTAAGTCAAATTAATAAAGTAATGATAATACTAAATAGGCTCACTAGATGCATATTGTGGTGTATTCGAAAATTAGGATTAAAATGAACATGGGGCTAATATCAGGAAGGGTGAAATAAAGGAATAAATTAAGAATTAAAAAAGACAAGGACGGAATGCACTGGCGAAATCTAAGGTAATAAGTATTGCTAAAATGTTCAGAAGACAAAATAAAAAAATGGCAGGTGTCATGGTTCAGAGACAGCCAGTGACCTGAGAAAGACAAGATTATATATATCAGAGAAATGGGATGGGATTACCCTGCGAAAGTATGTAAGAAT